ATCGGTTTGGCTGAGATTAAAGTTATTGTTTTTACACAGCAGAATAAACGTCAAGCAGACAACAGACTTAAGGGGGGAGGGGGAGAACAAACTCTATCTATCTTATCAAAAATAATAATTAGAAAAAAAAGGAAACATGCCTTTTCATTTCAAATTCTCTTTTTTGTATGTCCATCTTCATTCAGCTCTTTTTTTTTTTGTTGTACGTTAACCATTTTCCCCAGTCCTTCAAAAAGCGTTCTTCCGTCAATTTCAGTTTATATGTAAAGTTCTCCATCTCCATAATGTCCTCCACTGCTTCTTTCCTGGTGTCTCTGTCTTAAGCCAGTTTTTGGTGATGGCCTTCTTTGCTGCTGAAAGGAGAATCTTAGCCAAGTAACGATCCTTTACATCTACAGTGCCTTCCAAGTATCCTAGATACAAAACAAGGCAAGTTCTGGGAATTATGTAACTAATATATCACAGAGAGCTGAGTGAATTTTGACCCAGGAAGTGTGAATGTTTCTGCATTTCCAGAAAATGTGTGCATGGTCTGGTTCATCCCGTCCACACAGCCTCCAACACTGTTGTTGTGTATTGGTTTGTTTATTTTTAATCTTAGGTGTAATAAAGTAGCGAATTTGATTTTTTCCAGATGAATTCTCTCCACTTTAATGATTGAGTTGTATTCTTATGTTCTTTCCATGTTTCATACCACACCTTCTCAGTGATTTCTTCATCCAGCTCTCTTTCCCATTGTCCAGTTATATTTTAGATAGCAAGGAGCAGACGGCTGAGTTTATTAAACTCCACCGAAACAATCTGGAATTGTCATTAAAATTTAATAAACTATCATCTTGTCTTTATTTTTAGTTAGCACATACCTTAAACACTTAAAGCTGTAAACTAATGATAGTTATATAAGAGCAGATGCATGCTGGTGCAATAAGCTGAACGTTCTATGTCCAATGGATGCATGATCTGATTAGTCGACTAATTGCAAAAATAATTGGTGACTAATCAACTATCAAAATAATCATTTGGGGCAGCCCTAGTTGACAAGATTATTAATCATTTAGAAATTAATATTGTCTGTATGGACAGCAATTTAAAAAAAAAAAAAAGTGAATGTGTAAAGCTGCGGTGTTAAGCGATGCGGATGAAAAATTTGGTTGCACCTAACTTTTGTGCTAGTGCACCTAAGGAAAAAAATAGTTAGGCGCACCAGTGCAACAGTGGCAAAAAGTTAGTCTAGAGCCCTGATCTGACTACAGTGTTTCTGGCTAACTGATTAAAAGTTTTTCCAATAAAATGTAATCAAATAGGCAAAAATGGCGGATTTTTTAAAATCCCGGTGCGACATAAAAGTTTTAGTTTTGGACTAAAAAAAAATTAGTCTACAGTCTCCGACTTCGTCATGCAGTTGTTCGGCGTCCTGCGCCATGCCTTTGTGGGCTTGCCGATGTGGTTTTGCCTCACCCTCCATGTCATCCTCATTAGCGGGATTAAGTTTGGATTAGAGGCAGAGAGCAGCAGTACGGTCCATCTGCCTGCTTCAACTTGCACCGACACAGAAAGTCACCGGACGGTGGCCTGCAAGGGTCCTCTTTGTTTATCCATTTATTGTTTCCATGAGGAGCCAGCGGAAGATTCTGATTTTCATTTCCAGCTGTTCGGAAAATATTTTAATGATCTGGAGCCTTCTGATTCGCCGATGATTGAATTATTACAGAAATAAGCTCACACGCACGACTCAACATAATGGGTGGGTTAGCTCACTGATCAGCCATCTAAAACAGAGTTTGGGCTGTTTTTGTTGAAACCAACTTTACTTGTGAAATCTGATAAATGCTGATTTTACTTCAGAATGAGGCTTTAAAAATATTTTATCCTGAGAAAGTTGAGCCTCTGATATTTCCCAGGTAGCACATGGAAGTATCCTGGACCACGTCCATCTGTGCTGCAGGCATTTGTGTCTACAACCTCCTGAAACACAATCTGAAGCTCACAGCGTAAAGCCCTGATTGGCTGTGTGGAGGCGAGAAGAGTCAGCCACTGAACTTCTCTTTATTGCTTTATGTTTTCATTTGTTAGTCACATTTTCTGTGAACGACTCAAAGTGGCAGAGAAGACATGAAAATTTTGACTGTTGTCAGACAGCTTTTCCCTCTAAACTCCTTGGAGTCCTGTCACAGTTTTCGGGGGTTCAGGTCAGAGCTGTTTGAAATCTGCGTATTAACCCTGTGCAATCAGTATATGGTAATGTTTGGCCTGCTCTTGCTTATATCACTGGTTCCCCTTTAAAAGTGATGTGAAAGTGACTGCTTTGCTCCCTCAGAGGCAGTTCTTAAGTTAACAGACTCTGCTGGTTGCTGAGTTTTGATTTCCTGCTTCTCCTTTTTCACGTCGTCACTCTGAGTCGGGCCGTGAACCATTGACAGCGGCAGAAGCTGATAAGTGTCTTGTTTAAAGTCCAACATGCTTTATCACCCAGCAGCTGTTTAAACTTTTGGCTCTTCAGTTAAGATACTCGTCCACTGTGACCTCTGACCCGTGCATCATGTTGCTGTCGTCATGTTGCTATTAAAGAAGGTGAAGCTGCAGAGGGAGAGGCAGAGAGGTAGGCACTGTGTTGGAGATTACGAGGCTAAATTAAAACCTTCATCCTCCTTAAACTCTATAGGACTGACTCCAGAATGAACAGGATTGCTTTGGGTCAGTCCAGTCCAGAGCTATTTGAAGGCAGTTAGCAGGACGGTCAATGAGCTGTTTACATGCGGACTGGTAGCTAAGCTTTCAGCTACTTCAAGCTTTTTTATGCTGTATTTACATGGTACTGTACAGACTGCAGTGTTTCCCACAGGTTTATTTTTGGCATATGTGTATGTTTGTGTATGTGTCAACACAAAGTTTTTACACATTCGTCACCTTTACATGTTTCAGATACCAAATTAATCTTGGACAAAAATAACCCGGGTAAATGGAGATCGACAGACCACGTGATTTTCGCACGTTGCATTGTAGGTACGAGTGGCAGCAAAATTAAAACACTGCATCAAGCGCTAGGATTTCCAGCACCAATAACCATTAATTCTGCGGTTTTAATCCCTACCTGCATTTTATTTGCCCTGAAAACAGTTATGTACAAAATGAAAGGAGAATACAGCAGGTCCGTACAAAGACAGACTTGACGAAAAGGCTATCTTCGCTCCGGAGTACTGGAAGAGAGAGGGGGCAGCGACAGTCGCTGTTCTTTCCAGTGAAAGGGATTTCTTGTACCACCGTGCGTTTCGGGACTTACCCCGCAATCCAAGCCCTCCGTTGCCTCTTCGTGACTTCGGAAACATGACTTGAACAATTTTTCTTCCACGAAGCAATCCGATAAAAACCAATTGCTTTACCCGTTGGCTTCCAGTGACTGTCATGCGACCGGCTATAGCAGTTAATAATACAACAGCTTCTTGCCATTCTTTGTGTCTCTGTTTATCTCGGTGTGACTGCTGTCTTGTAAAAGCCCGTGCGCGCTAGCCACTTGTACCTACAATCCTTTGCGGTTTTACCCTGGAAATGAAGCCACATTTTCGATCTCTACACAAAATGCAGTTTTTAAATGATTATTTCATTCATTAAGAAAAAAAAAACATATTCAAAGCTAACTCATCTCATGTGAAAAAAGTAATTACCCCCTCTAAGTCATAAATTAACTGTTATTGTCTAATGTCTGCCACATCTGTTGAATCATTAAATTGCTTAAATAGAACCTGTATGATAAAGTGAAGTAGCCTAAAAGATCTCAAAAAGCAACATGTCATCCCAGAATCTAAAGAAATGGACGCGAAAGGTCTGCTGTTGCAGCTCATCTGCTGCGAGTTTCAACGTGTTTTGCATTCAGAGATGTTCTTCTGCATACCTTGGTTGTAACGAGTGGTTATTTGAGTAAATACTGCTTTCCTGATTGAAGTTCAGCAGGTCATCTTGACCATGTCTGAGTGCTTTGAGGTGCTGCTGTGTGATTAGCTAATTGGATAACAAATAAAATTTATTAAATAAAAATAAATGTTAGAAGCAGTTTACTCACAGCAATTCAACTGCAAAAACCAGAAGAACATCATCTTTGTTACCTTGGGACAAAGCGTGAAAAGGGTTTTTGGTGCAGTGATTAGATGGTACAGTACAAACAGGAAACATACATAAGGTCAAAGACTACAGCATCACAGAAAAAAGCTGTGGAGTCAGATTTCTCTTGTTCCAGGAAATAAAAAAGAAGATTAAGAGTTAAGTTTATTCTTACAGCACTGATCAAATGCAGGTAACTTTCTTTAAAATTGAGAACTGGGGCATTAAGCTGTTTGAGTTTTATCAGTTTTATCAGCATGTCTAAGTAGGTAAAAATTGAAAATGATATACTAAGCTAATTCAGATTTAAAAATAAGTAAGTAAATGATGATATTTTTATGACAGTTTTTGCAAGAAAAGTTACAGATTAACTTTTCTTGCAAAAACTGCATAAAAATCAGCAGATCTTCACATGTGAAGCTGCGTCTGTAGAATGTTTACAGAAATTGTTTAAAGGTATTTAGTTAATAACTGTAGCTCCTGTGCTGCTGGAATAACTGGAGGTTTTTCCATTCTTCCCATTCCTCCACCATGGTGTGAATTCAGCTCATTTTATCTTCTTAGACAGCACAGTGCTGAGTTGGTCTAAAACCTCTTAAAACCACAGTTTTAGTTTTCATTTTTGTGATACTGCCCGATAAAGGTTGTGTAACTCGTCAGGTTTCCCATCTATGACTTGAAAAAAAAATCCATCTTGGCTCCCTCCTGAGGCTAAAACACTCAAATTAAGAAACTTTTTTTTTTTCAGCATTTTCTTTTCTTTTCTTTTCTTTTCTTTTTTTGTTTGTTGTTGTCCAAGCAGGACTAGTTGAAACACAGTCATTGGTCTTTATGATGTAAAAGACATTAAAACATACGTGACAATAACAAAGCTGTCATATAATCATCTTTTCTCACTCTTTCAGGCAAAACGGGCGAGCCGGTCTACTCTCCCGGTCACAACGGCTCTCAGGCCACGTCGCCCGCCGCCCTGCCCCCACTTCGCAACAGTAACCACCATCATTTGACGGTATGGCTGCACACTGCTTTATCATTTATTTTTTTCACTTCTTTGTCATTGTTGTGTTCAGAATAACACGTGAAGAGCATAAAGCGGATATTATGCCTAAGTATCTAGACTTCTTCCTCTTGATCTCAGAATCTTTAAAACTTAGATGAACTTTGAGTAGTTTGCTCATTTAGGTTTAACCAAAATTCACAAACTGTGTAAATGTGCTTTGATGAAATTAGTACTCCTCAAACCGTGTTTTCTTTTACCAAAATACAAAATTTTTCTTCCAACTAGGCCAATTATGCTTTACCTACTTTTAATATTTGAGGTGACAGTGTTGCTGCAGTTCTAGGAAGCCCTTATTATATAAAAGCTTTCAAAGAGTCGCCTGGTAAAACAAACGGAAGAAGAAAAAGACTATGAACCCTGCACGCAGTAGGCTGTCAGGGAGCGAGGGGAGAGAGCAAGCCATGCGCTGCCCTAATTGGCTTTATATGAACGCAGGTGAGACTTGGTAGTCTATCAGCACAGAGGATGAACCACAGAGCAAGGGCAGGATAATAATGATGATAGAAAAAGTTTAAACAAAGATGCCTAACAAGGTTTTGAACAACGATGGTAGCATGCAGAAGTCATTCAGATCGCTCTATCAGAATCAGAAAGACATTATTTATCCCCAAGGGGCAATTATTTTATATTTGTTTATCTGCTCTTGGCTCTGTCTGATGTCACGAATAGGGAATGTCACTAATAAGGTCATTTGAGTACCTCAGAGTAGTTTATATCCTCTTTTACTGTGTGGTTCTCCTTTTTTTTTTTTTCCTATTCTCTTTCTGCTCTCAACAAATCAGGGTTGATGGCTACCCCTCCAACAGTGTCTTCCTGTTAATAGGGAGTTCTTCCTTTCCACCATCACCGAGTGCTTGCTCACAGGCAGTCACCTGACCATTGGGGTTCTTTACCTTACAATACACATGGAAATTAAAATTGAGCAGTCTACTGAGCTGAATAGAAGCTCCACTCTCCTCCTGCTGTTCAGATCTTCTGTTTGTGGGAGGCAGCCAATCAGGAGATTAAAGGAAGTGGATGAACTACACCAATGCCTACTTTAAAATAAATAACTGTGAAGCTGTTACCAAGAAGAATGTGAATCTGATCCAGTTTAATTATAAACATTAAGTCTGCTAGTGTGCCTCAGGTTCATGGTTTTATTCTGATAGTCATCAGCAGGTGAATAACAGAAAAAGTGATGAACAGATTAGCGGCAGATGTTCTGCTCAGACCTTTGTGGTCAGCAGCTTCGTGCAGGTCGTGATTTTTGAGTTTGATTCAGATTCTGCAGCTCAGGGTTTTGTCCCGTTCATCTTGGCTCATCGTTGGGAGAAATAAGCTGGTGAAGTCATCTGTCGGTGTTGGCGTGTTAGCATACTGTTAGCGCCAAAAAGCAGCACTTCTGTGCACCAGCCTGCTGTAGCCACATGGCTAATAATAGCCTCCTGTGCCAGGATGCTTTAAACAGCTAAATGGTTTATAGGCTGTTGTGAAGGACACACACACGCACACACAAGACTAATGCTATAAAAGAAATAATGCATCATTTATTTGCTCTGTTTATTTTATCGCCACTTTTGTACACGATAATGACGTTTCCTGTGGCACGTCAGTGGAATCTCTTACCAGACATTAACATTGATGTTCAGGACGGCAAATCAGAGGCTTCTTATCACTTGGAAAAAGTCACATGTTTAATCAAGGAGCAAATATTCATTGTCAGAAACTGATCTTCCAGCCTCAAGTAATTTACCTGCAGTAGTGTGCCTTAAATCCGGTGTGCCTTATGGTCTGAAAAATATGGTACACAAAAGAAAAAATAAATAAAATTAGAGCTCAGCATATAAAAACTTTAAGAATTTTTTTGCATTATATTAATGAGGGCAACCTAACGACAAGTGAACCCTGGAAGAAATAAAATCTTATATTGGGGCAAATTCTTTAATCACAGTTGACTGATTCTGTACCGGCAGTTTTTATTTCTCAGTAACGATTGAAATGAACAGAAATGTTGATTATTCTTCAAAATAACTGCCTGAATATGTACCTGGAAACAATTCAAGATGGGTGTCCGGTGGCTAACCTTTCACCTGAAAGAACTCATTTCCCAGCCCTCTTATATAAAACCATTTAAAAACATGGAAATATTACACCTAGCTTTTTTATGTATGTTTAATAATAAAAATAAATAATCTGCAGATTAATGAATAATGGAAATCCTTGAAGGAAAGAAGCAACATTTGGCTGACTGAGTCGAGGTGTAGTCAGGTAAGGGAGGAGTCAGCAGAGCCACATGTCATCTTATATGTCAGTGTAGCTGCTGAGACACACACACAAACCTGTTTGTGTGTGTGTCTCATCTCCTGATTTTCATCCTCATGTTTGTGCCACCGTGTCCTCAGCTGCCGGGTCACGAGAACACACACTTACTGTGTTTTTGTGTTAAGCACCAGGTCTTTGAACCAAGCCGCTCTGCCGTGTGTGTGTGTGTGTGTGTGTGTGTGTGTGTGTGTGTGTGTGTGTGTGTGTGTGTGTGTGTGTGTGTGTGTGTGTGTGTGTAAGTGTGTAAGTGTGTAAGTGTAAGTGTAAGCACCTCTGTTATCTGAAAGGACCCAGGTGTGCTGGTCACCACAGCAACGGGGAGTGACTCAGTGAGCGGGAGACAATGAGATGGAGCCGCCTGTTAATCAGAGGGGGATAATTTCCCGGACACAGTTCATCTTCCCGGGAATCGTTTTTGTCTAATTCACTCATTTCTGGGTGTTAATTATCCACGTTTCTCTGAGAGTGCACGTCCAGGTCCATATTTGGATGACACGCATCAGAAAATGAATCATTCAAAGGAGAAAAATAAAGTCCCAGAATCTATTAAACTCAAACCAAAGACATCATAAGTGGCCACCTGCTAGTTACTGCTGTTAAATAAACCTCTGTTTCCTCGGCTCAACTTGCAGAGGACTCACTCTTATTTTTAGCCAATATTTCCCTCTGTTTTCTGTCAGGGAGGCTCAAAAGTTGCGATGTCGGACGCCGTCCAGCTGTCATCGCAGTCGCAGGGCCACGTCACTCAGCTCTATGAGGAGAACACCAACAAACGCCCGGTGCTGACCTCGCAGCCCAATGGGCTGGCTCCAATCAGCTCGTCCCGACCTGGCTTGCCGCTGCCAGACCGGCAGACCTCGGTGTCAGAGCCTGCCCACCACCACCGCCAGAGCAGCGCAGCCTCCAACAAGTCGACAGACAGCAAGCCGAAGGTCAACCCCATGACCCCGGAGCAGGCCATGAAACAGTTCATGTCCAAAATTTCGTCATTCGAGCAACACGAGATGTTCAGCTATCCTGAGGGTGAGTGTCCCTGACCACTCCGCCTGCAGATGGTCGTTCTGATTGATTAGAGGTCGGGTGTATTGACAGGAGAGAACCACTAATAACTGATCAATCATCTGCTTCCTCCTCAGTGTATTTTGTTGGCCAGAATGCCAAGAAGAGGCAGGGGGTCCTCGGTGGAGCCAACAACGGGGGCTATGACGATGATCAGGGGTCTTACATCCATGTACCACATGACCACATCGCATATCGCTATGAAGTCTTGAAGGTCATCGGCAAGGGCAGCTTTGGACAGGTATGACTGCTGACCCCCCCCCCAAATTTTCTGTTTTTAGTCTCTGAATTTTTTTGTCTTTTTTTTTCTTTTTTAGATGATGTTTGTTGACTTTTTATTAAATTGTGTTTGCTGTTATGTTTAGTTCCTGATTTTTTAAGAGTGATGACAAGTTTTAGCGTCTTTGCAGTAATAATTTTTAACCTTAATGCCTGCAGAAGATTCCAGATGATGTTGTAGTTTGTAGCAAAGACAGTAGAGATGGTTATTACACAGCTTAGCAGCTGAGCTTTGTTTGGTGAAACATGTCTCATTATAAAGGAAAGCCGCAACAAAGGGAGCTTTTAGTTATCAGGTTATGAGTCTTCATGTTTAATTTTAAGATGAAATTTTTAATAGAGAAATAACAGTTGTAGAATAGAACCAGGAAAACCATGAATATTAAAAATATCTTTGCATACTCTTCCGAGACTTTAGTTGGTGTTTTTTTTTTGTTTTTGTTTTCTTGACATCAAGAATATCTAATCTAAGATTAATGACGACGTCATGCTCTTCCTTTTCCTCCTGCAGGTGGTGAAGGCCTTCGACCACAAGACTCAGACACACGTGGCTCTGAAAATGGTCCGCAACGAGAAGCGCTTCCACCGGCAGGCAGCAGAGGAGATCCGCATCCTGGAGCACCTGAAGAAGCAGGACAAGGATTCGAGCATGAATGTCATCCACATGCTGGAAAACTTCACCTTCCGAAACCACATCTGCATGACCTTTGAGCTCCTCAGCATGAACCTGTACGAGCTCATCAAGAAGAACAAGTTTCAGGGCTTCAGCCTCCCGCTGGTCAGGAAGTTTGCCCACTCCATCCTGCAGTGTCTGGATGCACTGCACAAGAATCGCATCATCCACTGCGATCTCAAGCCTGAGAACATTTTACTGAAGCAGCAGGGACGCAGCGGCATCAAGGTCAGCTGCTGTAAACGAATCAGAGGAAAACCCCCTTTCTTAACTTCACAGACCCCTTCAAACTGCTTCTCTTTCTCTCCTCAGGTCATAGACTTTGGTTCCAGCTGTTATGAACATCAGAGGGTTTACACCTACATCCAGTCCAGGTTCTACAGAGCACCGGAGGTTATTCTGGGTAAGAAAAACACTGAGAAAACTGAGAGCAGCGTTTCCTTTCGCATATGAAAGACAGTAAGTGCCAAAATAAACTGGCACGTTATAAATTACTCAATAAAGGAATAAAAAGCCATTAAATAAAAAATAATATTAAAAATATAGAAGAAGACTGAATTTAGGGAAACTGATTTAAACATTTTAAATAAATAGTAATAAAATATATATATAATATTACGTATTTAATTTTTAAAAAAAGTTTTTTAACCAAACTTGTCATCACTTTTATTGAGCTCTAACAGCAGAGTGTTTTTTTTTTTTTTTTTTTCACTTTTAAGATAATGTACAGAACAAAAGCTTGTTATTCTGACTTTAAATGAGAACCAACCAGCGATTTAAAACAAACAAATGTTTCCCTTTAAAATTAATGTGCATCAAGTTATCTTTGCAATTTAATAATAGATATAGTTATTATTACTTGTATTCTAATGATGTTTCAGGAAACTCTTGAAAGCAGTTCATCGCAGGAAACGGTCTTTGGACTTCCTGAATGTGACTGCTTTACTCTCTGTTTGACCGACTAGCCAATAATGACACAGGCTGGATTTGATGGTGACCCTCTTTCTTCTCTTCCAGGCTCCAGGTATGGGATGCCCATCGACATGTGGTCTCTGGGCTGTATCCTTGCCGAGCTGCTCACTGGTTACCCCCTGCTGCCGGGCGAAGATGAAGCTGACCAGCTTGCCTGCATCATCGAACTCCTGGGAATGCCCACTCAGAAGCTCCTTGACGGCTCCAAGAGAGCGAAAAACTTTGTGTCATCAAAAGGCTACCCACGGTACTGCACCGTGACCACGCTACCCGATGGCACCACAGTGCTGAACAGCGGGCGCTCGCGGCGGGGGAAAATGCGCGGCCCCCCGGGCAGTAAGGACTGGAGCACGGCGCTGAAGGGCTGCGATGACGCGCACTTCATCGACTTCCTCAAACAGTGTCTAGAGTGGGACCCGGCACTCAGGATCACGCCCAGTCATGCGCTTCGGCACCCGTGGCTGAGGAGGCGGCTTCCAAAGCCTCCATCAGGAACCACGGCTGGAGAAAAGACCTCATCGTCCAAACGTGGCACGACCACCACTGATGGCGCCATCACCTCCATCTCAAAGCTCACCACCACCTCAACCACCACGTCATCCTCCTCAAAAACCAGGACTAACTTAGCAGCTATCACGGACGCCAACGGAAACATCCAGCCGAGGACAGTGCTGCCCAAACTGGTCAGCTGAGAGTGAATGCACCCCACTCGCTGCAGGGAGGACGGCAAACCAGCCGAATAAAATGGTTTCGTCCAGTTTGACAAACGTTTGGATTTTCAGCGTTGTTGGGGTGCGTTCAGAATAAACACGGCATGGAAATGTGCGGATTGGCTACTCCACTGCACAAAACCCAGTTAGATGAACTTGCTTGTGTTCAGGAATGCCTCAAATCCTCAGTTTTACATTTTGAGCAGTGAGACATGAAGTAACCGCACGTTGTTTGGACCCGACTGCAGCGCCACTCAGACAATCAGAACTCACTATACCGCTCTGTAGCTCCAAACTCACAAACACATCAACAACATGGTGCTGACGGGGGAACAAGGCTGTTTTTAAAGTGTTTTTAGTACAGAATCTTTTTAGCTGGTTTGATTAATCAATTTAACAGCTTGAGTCTTACAAGGTTATATCCACACAGTGTAGGGCCTTATGAAGGAGGTTTATGAGGTTAACTGGCAGTTAAGTTTGATATATCCTTTTAATTCTAAAGGTATAGTTGTGCAGTGATTAGCTTTCTAGTCTTTGTTTTATGTCAGAGTGAAAAAAAAGTTTGTTGGGTTTTAGTTAGGGGTAGATTGGTGGTGTTTGTTAAAAGCCCAGCAGAACCCACTCCCTGCTAGGTAGCTAACTTTGTTAGTTAGCTTTTGTTTTACAGTGTAGCTAGCCTTTTTTACCGTGCTAGCATAGTGCCTGTCAGCTGGCTAACTGCTAGCTGGCACTGGTTGTTGTTGGACAGCTACATGTTTCTTAGCTGTCCCTTTGCTAGCTATTTACCTTTTGACTGGCTAGCAGTTAGCTTAGCAAATTTTAAATCTGTCAGCTAGCTATAGCTGGCTCCACGTTTGCCTTTTTTGGCAGTCTGGCGGCTAGCCTTAGCCTGTTTTTAGCCATAGCTCGTTAGCTCTTCACTGCCCAGCCTTACGAAGCACAGACAGAATGAAAAAGGTTGTTAATGTCTACACTTTGTTTTTTGATGGGGATAAAATAATGCCTGAAAAGAAGAATGTTCGAAGTAAACAAGAACCAGTTTTTTCCTTTTGTAATGAATCAAAACTGAGCACTGAGGGCACGAAATGGGGTTTGAGGGATTACCACAGAGGAGCTGGTTTAATAGTAACGTTATAAACCTCACAGCAAAGAGCATGGATTAAAAAAAAAATAGATTTAATGTTGTAAACCAAAGGGGACAGTGAAGAATTTTCTTAAATAGCCATTTTAAATAGTATTTAATAATAATTTGTTATTGTATAGAGAAAATAAAAGATGATTGTTGACCGTTACGCGGTAGACGTATCACCTGAGCCCAGAAAAAAAAGTTTATCTAAAATTAACTTATACACAAATCCTCATGTGCAACAAAATAAGTGTAAGTAACTTTGATTTTCAAAGTACCATAGGTTTACTGAGCTCCTCCATTTGGTTTTTCTCAAAGTATGGCGAGGTTGTTTCAAATCACTTCCTTTAGAGCCATTTGGAGCATGATACGTAGTGAATACCCTTTTAAAAAATGTAACAAAGAATAGTTAAGGAGCGTCTACATCAGAATGGATCGAGCAATAACGTCTAAAGTTTTTTTTTTTTGTTGTTGTTTTTTTAAACTTGCGACAGTCAGTGAGCGATTAAAGGTGAATACCAATGGGACCTAAGCATGGTGAGCCACTGCGTCTGGCCCTGAATGACGCAGTAAAATTACAGATTAATTTAATGATTATTGATTATATAGATCCAAAAAGAAGTACATTTGCTGATACACGGATCAGAGTTAATTATTGAAAAATTTATAATGGGACGGAAGATGATTTTTATTTATTTGCGACACGTTAATATTTATTAATCTAATCGATGTATTACGTGCAGTTTATACTGTATACTTGAATGTGTGTGAGCTGGATGTATGTACTTGTGCGTGTATGCGCGTGCACAGTATAAAGGGTCTTTTTGTTTGTTTGGGGTTTTTTTTAAAAGCTTGTTCCCTCAACCCTGCATACTTTTACACACACACACACACACACATACACACATACACACACGCACACACACAGAGCTGTATCTGAACGCACTCTAAAACTTAGGAAGATGACGACTAGGAGAAAAGCTGGCCCACAGTTGGCCGTGTGCACCATCAGCCTGGTGATGTAATGTAGCACGCAGGAAGTGGACGACGATGCTCAGAAGGAACTGTTGTTTAAAAACAAACAAACAAAAAAAAAAAACACAGACACTACCTGCTCCACCCATCTCAGGGGAAGCTTTGTCCCCCTTCTGGAGGAGGAAGAGGAGGATAAAGGGGGGGATCCTCTCTGATGTTTGTTTTTTTTCTGAGGACTTGATTGGTTGAGTTTATTTTATTATTTTTTTTAATTCAGTGAGATGAAGTGCAGAGAGTCAAAACTGTGTGCCTTCAGTATCTCATTGCCATGTCTCACCCACCACACACACACACACACACACACACACACACACACACATTCTTAAAGAGATGATGTCATAGCATCAATAACAAAAATGAACAACAAAACCTCCCAGGAAGTACGTCAGTATCTTTTGGTGCCACTCACACCAGCATGGTGAGATTTAATGGCTTAGAGTCTGGATGCTGATCAGTTCCTGGTTTGTTTCAGTAAAGCCCAAAGACACCTTGTGAACCCCTGTGACCTTTGACCTCTAAACCCCAGGTTGTCTCCACTGATCTGATACAATGGTTTTGTGGTCAGTGGAGACACAAACACGTCTTTAGCACAGTTTACAGAGCAAACAATAGTGCAGCAGAAAGTTCAAACAGTGGACACAAACACCAAAACGCCCACATTTGACCCTGTGGAGGTGTTCTTGTGAAAAATCAGTCCGGCTTTCATTTCGATCTAGGAAACCGCTGTTTTGTTCAAATCCCAAGCCCTGGATACATTTTAGAGGTTTTACTCTTGATTTTTAATACTTTTGACTTTAAGCAAGTCAGATTTATAGCTTTCTGAATAGTCACTCTGAGTCCTGACCCACTATAAATGGCAAACTTCCTGCCATAGGTAAGACCATATGGGGCCTGGAGTTGTGAATGAATCAAAAAACCATGTAGTAATACTAAATTAATACACGTGCCACCATAAATCAGTACCTGTATCCACCTGTGAATGGTTTCCCTGTTATTGCTACCTGCTGCATTACAGAACATGCCAACTTACCAGCCAAAGTAGCTTTAAGCTAACCTGTACCGACATCCACAGGTGTGTGTGTTCGTGTGTGTGTGATAAGATGATTTTTGGGGTGGGCAGGGGGTGTATAACATGGCTGCACAATGTATAGACACATATCAGCCCACTGTCGCCATCTGTCACTGTGGTACAGACCAGTGACACCTGCTGACAAGAGGGCTAAGCTAACACTAGCCGTTCGACTGCTAGCGCCCAGCCGCTAGCTGCTGCACTGATGTTTGTTTTCTTTGCAGTGATGCTTACACTAGCCTATTGCTAAATAAATGCTAGTAGCACATTTTTACCTGCTAGCGTTGAGCTCTGCACAGACGGTGCTCGTGCAAGCTGTTAGCATTAGCATTAATGTGGTTTTAAAGGGGTTTTTTTGTTTTTTTTTTAATATTCGTACCTCAGATCGCTCAGTTATTATTATGATTATAACCGCTGTCACTAACACCCAGGGCATTTGGTTGACTTTACCAAAGTGCATTCCTTTACAAAGCTAGCTCAGAGCTAGCTGCTCAGATAGACACGCAGGTAGGTAGGCAGGAAGTATGAAAGAACGCTAAGGGGAAGTGGACAGAAAGGCGATCGAGTGAGAAGCAGCTGTTGTCATTGAGATCAAAAGAGCATGAATTGCTTTGTTTTGTTTTTCTAAATATTGTCACTGGCTGCAGGCTCATGATGTTTGATTTAAATAACCTCCGGTAGCAATCAGTTGGGTTTTTTGTTTGATTTTTTTTGGGGGGGGCAGCAACTATAGCCTGGCTATCTTGCTAGCTCAATGCTACACTAGCCAGTTAATGTACAATCCCATTAGCCATTTAGGTTCTCTTCGGGAGTCTTTGCAGCCAGAGGTTAGCGACTGATAGCTTGAAGCTGCGCTGTATTTCTGTGATATTTGCCAGCTGGTTTTTATTGTGGATTTTATCTGTAAATAATGTGCAAAGTGTTTGAATAATAGTTGTTTTGTTTTTTTTGGGTGGGGGGGGGAATTAAATGCGCTGATGTGCCACGCCGCAGCCAGTTTTACAACGTACTGTATCTACTGTACAGAACACAGAAGTTGACTTTTCTAGTGAGCCTTTGTTAAATTTTATTGTGGTGCAAGAAAAGGATTATTATTAATAAAACAGTTTTATTGTTCGTCTTTAGGTTTCTGTCTTTTTGTGAGTCGGAGTGTAATGAATGGGATAGATGTGCCTCTTTGTGCCCACTTTTAAATTGCAAACAAAAAGTGGAAAAAAGGCACAAAACATGAGAACACTAAGAGTTATTTAGAAGTTAAACTAAAAGGTAGTACAACCCCACAAGGTGCACAAGCACACTGAGACTTTGTCTGACAACCCCGGTGCCTCTGTAGAGTGGAAACAAAAAACAGCTGAAAGTAATCAAGGAAAATGAGGTGAGAAATGGAAAATAGAAACAAAGCACGTAAGAATCAAATTTGAGTTGCCAATGCAGGAAAAGTCTTGGATTGGCCTCCCTAGAACCTGGACCTCAACATTACTGAGGTCTTCCTAAAAGATTTCTACATAAAAAAGGGACTACATTAAAAGTAAAGCCGAGCGTTTTCATGGTTAGCTAATCGTCAGCATACATAACGGTACTGTGGCACGACGGGAGGGGAGGATCATCGTGACAGAAAATAGTACAAAAGGCAGAAATGTGCAAAGAAGAGGATTGAATGTCTTTCTAGAAGGCTGGACAACTCAAGACATCTGCCTAAGAGTCCGTGTTGTGTTAAAAAATAAATGGTCCTAATAAATCCATTTCAAGCTAGTTAGAATTATACAAACTTTTTATTCCCGTCTGGAAACAGAACAATTCAGCTTGGAGTTTGAGTGTTTCTCCTCTTCTTCCATCTCAGGTAGAAATCCATCAGACACTTAATGACTTGCAGGAGTCTGTGGAGGAAGCTGAGAGATTAGAAGGGGGTTGCCATGACAACACAGTCTCCAAAGTATTAATGAATGCAGAGTTTTCAAGGAGGACGTAACATCACATGCGACAAGGAGCCAGGAAACGGTGAGGCACGCTGTCATGGCAACCAGCTCGGCGTTATTAGCGCTGTTTAGATTAGCACCGACAACACAAAGTGTTAGAATACAGAACACACAGGATGTAAAGGTGTCACAGGTGTAAAAAATAGTCTTTATTTACATTTAAATTTACTTATGAGAGCCATGTGAAGGACAGATGCCAAGAAGCAGCAAGTTAAGAGAAGATTTACCCCTCTTCTTCATAATATCAGCCATCAGATCCTCTGTGCTGTGGCATTGTAGAGACTGAACAGAATTATTTTTAGAGCCTGTAGTTACTGGAGGTCCTTCACACAAAGTAATAGTTTTCATCCAAAATGCACCTGATATTAATAATTAATTGAATTCTCAAGTATACAAATGATCAGACAGCTCAAAAATGACCATTATTGTTGCCTAAAACCAGTACGGCACTTCTCATGGTTTACTCTGTTGGACCAAAATATCTTAATTACCTTCATAAAAACCCGTCAAACCTCCAAATTCACATTAAACAAGAGGATCTATGATAACTAATCAACATTAATTAACCATTTACTGGCTGTTTGTTTGTTTTGTCTGGGAAAAAATGAAACCAACATGCTTCTTCGAGTTCTTTAGTGCCTAAAATAGTAGAACCTTTGGCTGTATTGGTTTGTTGCCCAATGAAGATTTTGACTGGATGCCGATCGCAGCGGCCATTTGTAATTTGTATGGAAGAAAATTTACTTTTCAAAGTAAAATGTGATCCTCAGCATTACTTTAAATGTTATTAATTCCAGTTTCACTCCTGCTCAGTGAATAGTTTCTGAGTATTTTCAGATTAGTCGACTAAAGCAATCAAAAGTATTTTCTTCTCTAGCAATAAGTGGTTGCCAGATGGTTGCAGACTAGACTCTTGGAGTCTGTGATTGGGATTTTATTAACTTAACTCCACACGGTTTCATGTCCAAAATAGTGGAAAAAATTATTGATGTGTGGTAAGTAGTCACATGACTGCAAAACCTCAATAATGATATGCTATCTGGTAGCAACACAGCTTAGAGTAATATAAACACATTAGCTTAAGGACAATAGAGGGTGACTGTTTTTAATGCTTCTCTTTGGAAAGCAAATGTGTTTGGCACAACAAACTATTCAGAACATGCTTCTGCTTGCTACAACTGCCTGACAGGAGAGGTGTTTAACAGAAAAAAGTTCATAATGAAAGTAATGGGAGTTCTTGGTGGGCGGAGACAAACACCATCATGTGATGACAAAGTCTGAGATGATCCATCCACAACACGAGGCGAGTCATTAATAGGTTGCTGCACTGTTTGGATTTTTTCCTATGAAAGAGTTGTGATCGAAATCTTAGCGATTCCTTTGTTTCTTTTTGTAATATTGGGTCTCAAGAACGCTTTAGGCTCAGTTTTTAAAACCTTAAAGGCATTCTTGGTATGAACAGAGCAGTAACTTTCCAGTAACAATCAATGGGTGTGTCCAACAAGGTGTAAAGATTGGACATTTTTCCCATTGTTGCCTCCCTCGTGACTCACAGAATCCTGGCCATGTTCACTGAAAGCACAGCTGTTCCTGCCCTCTGGTAGCTGGAGGCTTTTTTGGGAATTTTTACACCACACAGATTATTGATGTCGAAATGCTTCCAGAAAAGATGCATTTAGACTCTGTAACCTGCTGCTGGGTGTGGGACGCACGAGACACGTTTCCACAGAACGAGGAAATATGCAGCACAAACAGAAACTAGGTCTTTGTTAGGCTGTAATTTAACAAAGGGCACAAAATGTCTTGAGTGTGAAATATTTCTTTACACCAAGTAACAGTATGTGTTGGTTTTTGGTTGTTACAGGTTTTCTTGTTAAGAACTTTCTAATCTGAAACAGGCTGCCTGACAGTAGTAGTACAGAGTAGTTGGCAAGTTAATACCGACTGATGGATGCTTGAAGTCTAACAAAAGCTTATACCCAGTGAGCTCTACAAAGGAAATGGCTATGGAGCCAATCCTTTTAACCAGCTGTGCACACAATGTCCACAAACGATCAGAAGAAACACACAATGAAGTTCAAAAATGTCCACTAATAGACAGAGCCTCTTTTCAACTCATCTCCCCAGAGTCATGTTCTCAGTCTTTACAGTTGGCTGTTCCGCAAGTTCCCAAGGACATCAGAGGTTGGTTTCACCCATTACTCCAATTGCTCATTAGGCGTTTCCTTAGCCAGCCTCCCAATAGGTGCCCACATATAACCCAATTGCTTTATCTCCTCTTCAGCTGTCTTTCTCTGTCTGCTTTGGTCTTTCTAGTCTTTGTTTGCCCACCTCTCTAATGGCATCCTTGTTCATTCTGAGGACGTGGCTGGTTCATCTCCAGGTCTTTCACAGTGCACCCATGTAGACTCTTTAAAAGTTAAGTTTGAGTTCATCACCCCATGCTGTCCCCAGAAAGCATGTTTGTCCCCATAATGATATTAAACACACACACACAGAGGTTGTCACATCTGCGCCCATGCATACACATTTCCTATTTTCGACACTTCTTCTTTCTCGCCTTTCATTAATAAGATAATTAGTTTGCCATGGTAACGAAGTACAACCATGTGATTGGAGCAGCTGTGCTCTGTTTTAGGCTGCAGGGGGAGATTAGCAGGAAGGACATCGCTGCTAATTATAGCAGCTGTAGCAACAGGCTAACATGCTAATGGCTCAAAGAAGCCCTGCAGGAGCAGCTGCTGCCTGGCTCAAGGGCAGGTGTTCAGAGAAGCCATAATGCAACTGGAAGTCAACCAGAAATCAAAATTTTGTGGAAGTTTTGATGCTTGGTTTTCTCTTCATTTACTTTGAAATGGACTCAAATCAAGGTCTACTCTGGATGTTTGAGTGGTTTCCTCATAATTCAAAACTTAACGTGCATTCTGGATAAACTGTAAACAGTTATATCACCACCTGGGAGGGGCTGCTGCTCAAAACAAACTAAAGCATGTGAAAGGTCGACTTTTCGCTGACTGACAGCAGGCTGATAACTTAAATCTCATTTTTCTAATTGACTGAGCACCATTTTCTTTAGTGGTCAGAATAAAAATCCAAAAGACAATTTTGCGTCTTGGGCTTGCATGTTTTTTCCAGGTTATATATACCTTCACCATCTACTTTCATAGGTACACTGTGCTAGTACCAGTTTAGACCACCCCCCTTCAGTGTTGCCAACTTAGCGACTTTGTCGCTATATTTAGCGAGTTTTCAGACCCCCTAGCGACTTTTTTTCTA